CGCTTGCATGCAGTTTATACTTAACATTGAGGCGCCAATGGTTCAGTGCTGCATCGAAATTAAGTATAAACCGCACGCAAGCAATTTGGCGAGCGATGAGACAAGCGACGGCGACTCGCTTCGCTGTCGCTCGATCAGTTGCGTGACGAGGCAAACCGCATGGAAGCGACGGGAGCAAGCGACCAAGACAATGAGCGACGTTTCTAGAAATCCAAAAACCAGGCAATGCGACGGGCGACAGTGAGAAATCTTCGTCGTCGACTCTCATCGTTGTCGCTCGTCTCGCTGTTCGCGAGAGTGCTTACATGCGGTTCGGCTTTTACTTACGGAAACAATGTCTAAAGCGCGCACATGCAGCGAGAAGCACGACTGCGGTAGCCTTACTGCCTCAGTTGAAATTTTTGTGTCGCAGTGGTGTTGACTGCCCTTGATTAGCGATAAAAACAATAAAATGTGATGAACTTAATGGTCTCTGAAGCCTAGGCCATAATCTTGTATCGTCGATCGATTCGCTGTCCGATTCCATTCTATAAATACGAAAATACAAGGGCTATGTTCAAATATAGATATCAAATGATTAAATAAAGCCCGAAATATCGAAAGGATCTAAAGAAAAGACACGATTTCAACGCGGAACGTAAAAGAACTCGAAAACAAAGCTCCGGTGGTGGCCGATGCAGCACACAACGCGGAGCAACTGCGAGAAACTGAAGGTCGGCTATGGCGGCAGGGTCACGTGACTTCAAGATGGCAGCGCCCATGAAATGTTGCCTGAAAGGGTCTATGTGTATTTCTTTTTTTATATGAACCATTCAGTTGAAAGTTTCGCCGTGTCCTGTCCAGATCTTCCTTCGTTTTGTCAGTGTTTTTTTGGCATATTATTCAGTGATGAATAACCGATTGCCCAACTTGGCATCTTAAGCCCCAAGACCATGTAGCATGCATACAAAGATATCTTTTGGCAGGCTTGTTTTCACTTGTGCTTACTTCATGAGCCCCGAAAAATGGCAAGCCTGCCAAAGGTATCTTCGTGTGCATGCTGAATGTACTGAAGTCTGGTCGGGGTTTAGTAGGACTCCAGCATTATATGTCTGATTCCATTTTACATTGACATTTTAAAATACATTTTCACAAGAATATGGCTAGAATTCTTTGTATTTATTGATTCAATATACCTAAGTCAGACTGAATGTTTTTCTGATCTGATTTTTTGTTGTTGCGTTTTAATTACTGGGGAATTCGGTTTTTGTGGTTTTATAGCTTCAGGGCTGTCAGTGAAGTTGGCACCACTTTATATTGTAATTTTATAGGTATGCAACATAAATATCAAAAAGCACTTCTATGCATCTTAAAAGAAAGCATAGAAAACATTGTCTTTATAGTGGAAGTGTGCTTATGGCTCGGTTTTGCTATCTAGAGAAACAAACAAATTTTACCTTGCGGCAATTCAAAATTTGCTTTCAGATGATCTGAGGAACCTTCCACAGTACTGCATGTTATCGGTGGTCATCAAGCAGTTACTGCCTCGGAACGCTGGGGGACGCATCGAGAAGGTATGGAAGTAGCAAATATAATAGAAATAGACTTGTTCAGACGTCAGAGATACCGATAAAATTAGCTCAGCCGGGCGCTGGACGACGAGAAAGACAGCGTTTACGGGGCTCCCTTTCCGTAGGTGCAATGGTGTACAGCGGCGCTTGGGTCGCCGGCGGGGCGGCGCAAAGCTGCGCGTACGGGAGGGCCACGTGTGTCAACAGTTTTTAATGAGCTATCCGCAGACTGCCGCCACGAAGCGGCGTTAAGGGGTTGACTGGATGGGTTAACACGCGCCCCAGTGATACACCCGCGGTCTACCACCGTGTCTCCAAAAAGGGCGACCCCGCATTTACAGGCGCTTCCATATTTGGGTAGGTAGCTGGCAATACGGCTTCCGTGTTTTCTCCCTTGTGCTTTTTTTAATAGTTTTCTTTCGTAAAATGGTTTTGGGCAATCAGACTCATAATCACATTTCGATTTTCCTAATAAATGTTTAAAAAAATGTATCGCCAATTGTCCTGCAATTGTGTTTTTGTGTGAAACATTCTTGGCTTAGCGCAAGTAACCTCCTGGCATTTCTTCTTAAGCTGTGCCTCCCGAAAAGTCAAATATCGGGTTTTACGTGGCAAACCATCGCTGGGCATCAAGCAAACCACAACGAATGACTGAGGAGTAATTGGAACCACCTGGGGACCTTTTCACGTGCAACCGAATGAACCAAAACACGGCGCCTTCTCCGCAATAAGCTTTCGACAGATTGTGAGTACCTCTGCCGGGATTCCAACCCGCCACGTGGGGATCTGTAGGAGCTGAGCCTTAAGGCTTCTCCACTTTTCTCCACCCCATTCACCCATTGACTCGTTTATTTTCTCCGTCGGGTCGGTCTACGTCCACAGATTGTGGGGAACGACTTTAGCGGGTGAACTGAATTTAGGTATAGGTCACGTGACGTGAATATTCCCGCTAAATCTAGCGGGGAAACTGAATTCGTGTATAGTTCACATGACACAAAGTCATGTGACATATTTTCCCCGCGGTAATTAGCGGGAAAACGGAATTGGTGCTGAGGTCACGTCCCGTTTATTTTCCCGGGAAATCTAGCGCGAACGTCAATATGCGTATAGGTCACGAGACCACCTCAAGTGACGTGAATTTTTTCTCAGATATATAGTGGGGAATCTGAATTTATGCATACCTAACATGACATAAAGTTCTGGGATGTAATTTTCCCCGACAAATTTAGCGGGGAAATTCGCGGTTACGCTGTTTGAGGCTTCACTTCACCAAACAACTTAGCCTATAAGAAATCCACGTCAATATTGTTTTCTTATACGATAAAATTCACATTTACGCAGTGGCATTTAAGTTCCCAAATCTGTGACCCATCTTTCTTATATCACTTCCGCTTGTTTCTCCTGACTATAGTCCGATGCAACATAAGAAAGGTAGTCGAGGTGGAAAAGGGCTCGCACATGAAAAGTTAATATGGAAAGGAAGTCGCCCCTCTCAACGCCAGCTATCCTTGTTTCCGCTCTTTTTCCCCTCGCGCTGTCGTTCTTATGTTGTATCTGACTATACACCAACTCCTGTTTACAAACAAACCAGAGTGCCCATAGCGGACGCCACCGGCGCCGCGCATGCGCAATGGAATGTGGGCAAGAAGCTCGCCATTGCCCATAAAGAAACCATTGAAAAGCGATGTGGTCGGCGTCGATTTGTGTCTCCCTGGCCTTTTCGCGTTCGAATTGTTGATTCTACGTCTTCCTGGCAATGCCTGACTACGTGAGCGGCCTCAGCGAAATGACTAAGGCTCGTTACACTGCAGAACTTCTTGTGAATAATATAACATGCGGCGATTCATTCCGTGTTGACGCCGCAGAATTGCGCTAATGTCTGATTCGCATGATGAGATTTCAGTAGAGTATATTGTTGGCCAAGTCAATTTGTCGATTAGTCACCGCATATTCGCTTACGTTTCCCAAATTGCGACGTTGAGCATCATAGGTTCCACCACTCTTTTTTTGCCGCTCAGAGTACGTCGCAGCTGCGAAACCGCAAGTATAGAATCGCACCTTGTGAATCAGAAGGTTTTGCAGGCAGCGAGCAAAATAAAGCGCGTTCTCGTGCCTACTCATGCGATAGCGAATGCCGTTCTGTAGGTATTGCCATGTTCATGATGATCTGCTGTATGTGTAGTAGTATGAAGAGTATTGTATACAAAGGGAGGGCAAACATGTTGCTTGTGCGCTTGCACCAAGAATTGGAAATTTTTGTCACACCCCGTCTTCACATATTGCTACGCGCACCTCCGGGCGAGTGCAACTGTGGCCGAATGGTTATCGTCTTGGCTCCCACGCAAAGGGCCGAGGTTCGATGCACGGTCGCGGACTCACCTTTTCGGGTTTTTGTTATATAAGTTTTGCGTTCTGGAAAACAACCCTGTTGGTTGTTTGAGGTAAAAATGGTTCTACGCGCCAAACCTTCTACGGCGATTGTTCCAGAAGCCCACGCGTGTTCCAAAAGGTCTCCGCTTGGCGAGCCGAAATCAGTCTCGTTCTTGCGCTCGATCGTGCTACTCCGCCGAACTTCGACGCCTGCAAAGCTACTTCTTTGTATTTTTGCTTTCGGCAATCTATTGCAATTTAATGTCAAGGTAACTTCATTACTTTCGGAAAGTAGTTGTAACGTGATGGCATTACTCTTAGTCTGTGGTAATTTTTAATGTAACTTAATTTAGATTTATCAGTTTTCAAAAATAAGCTATTAATGTACGTTAATTACATTTTGAAGTCAGTTTTCCATCTCTGCTCATGACGCATTTAGGGTGAAGATATTGGGACACAGTCGGAACGGACCTCGAACATAGGAGGAAGCTTCCCTCTATTTAGAAGCAGTTGAAATAAAAACAAATGGAGAAGTTTATGTTTTACTGGGTGACTTTTGTGGTTTGGCGAGTTAAGTTATGGTAACTCGGAAATACATGGAGTGAAACCTATCTCTTCAGGGTCAGCATCCTACGTTTTATTGCCACTTCTGTCACCTTCACAAGGACGACCGTTTAATTTGTGTACTGGGAACGCTCCTGTAATAATTGCAGAGAGAGTAGAATAATAAAACCAAGGTTGGCATTTGTACAACTAAAAAGAAAGACATTCGATGTATAATTAAAGTTCGAGCAATGTGCCACTTTATAAAGAATGCGATATGAAAAATATATCTAGACTTTGCGGAGCACGTAGAACTCAAAACCGCAAAGATGATGTCGGACAGATCAGTCAGCGACATTTACCCCTTCTCAACTATCAGCATTTAGAGGAAACGTTTTCAAGAAAGTCTTATTCTGTATTTTTAAGCTTTTTATGCCTCGCGCTTGTTGGCAATGTGTTTCACGTGTGAGAAAAACAATGAACGTGGAAAAGCTAAAGTGGTGCTTCATACACTCCTTATTGGCACCAAGATTCCAATTTACTTTGGAAATGATCGTTTATTGCTGGAGTAGTCAACACAAAAATCATTTGAAGCACTCGTACTGCCGCTGTCAAAATGTCCAATTTACATATTCACATGATGTTTACATCAGCCATGATCCACTAGCGTCCGTATCCACCGCCGAAGCCCCGTCCGCCTCCGAAGCCACGTCCTCCTCCGAATCCACGGCCTCCTCCTCCGAATCCACGGCCTCCTCCTCCGAATCCGCGTCCTCCTCCGCCGAACCCGCGGCCACCGCCAAATCCACGGCCTCCTCCGCCGTATCCGCCATATTGTGCGACGGCCAGGCTGCACAGGGCTGCCAGAACAAGGAAGGCCACCAGGAGGGTCTTGCAGGACATCATGATGATGATGATTTCTGCAATCGAACGGGTGACAGTCTCAGCGTTAGTGTAAGGATAGCTTTGTCCACTTAAAGCTTTTTTAATGATTCAGTTTCTTCAGTAATCGGTATTCACCGTCAAAGCCTTTCATTATATATTAAATTTACACTGCAACATTGTCGAGCAAACAACGTATAAAAAACTACGCTACCTACAATTTGAAGAAAAACCTTGTTCAATTTAGCAGGAGCTATTTTGTAAATAAACAGTCAAGAATAAAAAATAATTGAGTCCGAACGTCCCACATTTTTTTACATGTTGCAGTTAATACGCCTAAAAAGATAGAAGTGATGACATATAAGACATATAATAATTTATTCGCGAAACAGTTTTATAATCATACAGACCTGCTGTATGATTGCAGTTATAAGCAAAAAAAGTCAGTAGAAGATGTAGATCATTTTGATTAGTGCTTCTTTTTCTTCATATATATCCAGAAAACTAGTCGCCGTAATTCAGATGAGTCTGCAGTTATAAAGTTAAAGTCATAAAACAAAACGAAAATTTAGCACCGTCTTGGTATGAAGGCGTCCTGAAGTTAGGTCTGGGAACTGACATGAGCTGTGTTTACAAATATCAAAAGTAAATAATTGACCTTGCTTTTATATCACGTAAGGCTGGTCTGCCTTTGAGCATGTGAGCAGACATATAAGCAGGATTGGATCGACTAGCCTTGTTTGCAGATACTAACTATAATTTAAGAAGAGGTTAGATTTAACCATTTCTTCCTATCTCTTTGTACAATGTGCTTCATAGAATATTCACTTGCAGTTTGAAGCATTTGACAAATGGTAACGTTTTAAAATGTTTATATTTTTGTACGCCTTGTCAAATTCTTCAAACTGTCTTAAGTCGTACAATATTAATATATAATTTCGAAAATCTAAAAATCTGCCGAGAGCTTCGAAATAGTTTTATACGCTAGAGGCGGTTTAGAACGACCAAAACAGTCATGTTTACACTCGAGTGCACTTAAATTGTAAAGACAAAATTTTTTTAAATGATGCCTAACATGTTTTTATGTTGCCTCATTTGTTAAATGAGGCAACTTGAAAAACGGGTAGAGGCGAGTACGCTTCTACATGACCCTCGGTAATTATAAAATACTATCTCGAACTGTAAAGACCAAACAAAAAGATATACGAGAAATATGTTTGTAAGAAAGACAAAACAATGAACCCACTTAAATCCTTGGTGCGGCAGTCCGCAAGTTCGTGAAGATAAGCCGAAAGGGAATACACTGCGAAACTCTGGTAACGCGTAGGATGCAGTTTCAAGTGCCTAGTCCAAAGTTTAGTGTAGTGTTGAAACCGCAAATACCTAGTGTCAGAATGGTTTCTGGCGTAAATATTACGTCCAAGTTGACTTGAGTGTAATTTTCAATTTTTGTTTTTCTGGTTGTTAGAAACCCTTGTTTCTTTTAAAAAAATATATCAGAAGTGAATAAATAATTCTGCACAATTTTTCCCCCGCTATGCAGAGCAATGCAGTTGACACCATTTTTATGAGTAATTCATCAACTTGGAAACTAAAAGCACAAAGAAGAGCCATGACTGAAAAACAAAAGTTTTGAAATGTTGATCCCTTACATTTAAAATATCCTCTAATATCCTCCATTCACTTCGGCGATTCAACTCAACGCTGTGTATGATCTATGAAAGAAATATTTCATCCTCGTTGTTTTATTCCTTTTTCCAGAGAAGAAAAAGGTTTTTTTTTTTCTTTTTACAAACTAGGTTTTGCTTTTCTCTTCTGCCAAGGCTAGGTCGAAAGTTTAACCTCAGACTATCTGTCGCTTGAAGAGCCTAATATGGCGATGCCGCTACTCACCGTGTGTGTTGTCGACTGCACTGTTTCCGAAGAGATGATGCAGAGGCTGCCCAGCACTGAGCCTTTTATAAGACGGCTTGCCGAGACGCGTTCCAGCGGGCGCCGTTTCTCAAGGACACACGGAAAGACCCGGCGAGGAGGCTCCGGATGGCGACAAGCAATCTGTATTCTTATTGCGCAATTCATTCCGCCGCACGTGTCAACCGGCCGGACGGTGCGCCTTTCCGCCCAAGTTTATCGATCATTCCCGAAGGTACACCCGACACATCTGGCGGTATGTGTCACCATATTGCGGCAAGGTTTGCTGTGAGTCGCCGCGTTTAAGTTCTGTAGGCAACGTTAGTGGACTACTGATTCTTGCAACACGACTCTCTAAAAAAAACTGGCATAAGCACACGAACTTTAATTGTTGTGAGAAGGTTCTCCTAGAAAATTTTACACAAAGGTCCACGCTTTGAGCACCCTTATTTCGAGAAGTATATCTTCAATCTTTATGTTTTTTGAACCAGGGTCATGTTGAGAAGAAGACCTTTCATTTATAAACAGGGTAAAAGTGTCTAAACACGCGTATTGTGATGCACTTAGGAGAAGCAACACATACTCGCATCCAACAGTTTACGCTGATATTGTTTTAGCAGCTACTTTATATAATTATTGCCTGTTCCAGAATTCCTTGGGTGCGTATTCTCTGAACCTAGAGATAGTATGAATTATATATTATAACACAGATTAATAGGATCGTGCTTTTCTCTTATCCAATGGCGGACGTGGTAACATATGAGAACGAGGTTTCCGGAGTACATAGGTTGCGTGCGTGCTTCATTGTGTCTGTATATATTTTTTTTTGTTAATGTGAAGGTTCTTTGTGGCGTACGTTTCTTTAGAGCTTGTTAATCTTATAAAATATCCCTTGGGTGCTGCAAGGATTGTCAACAGGTTATTTGTGAGCATTTATCACCGCTTTAATGGAGTTGCTGTAACACCCTTATGGTTTTAGCCCTGGTACTAGCTGATTCACACAAAAATTATTCTTAAATGTTTTAGCAGGTTGGCCGACTATCCTAAGCAACGAAGACCTTGTGGTCTTACTTCGCAGCAAGCCACGGGAAGTTCTTTGCGTTTTTTTAGCCGAGTGACGCTGCAAAGACACCAACAATTGTTAATGGTAGCTACCACAAGTCACTTATAGAAATTTCTGCACTGCACCGTAGCATGCATGGAAAAGACGGCTCTCCAAGAAGTATCGTCTTTCAAACTTAGTCGGCTATATCATATGAATCCTTTGTCCGGACTGCCGAGGTGTAGTAGAAACTATATATATATATATATATATATATATAAGAAATATCTATGTCCAAGAAACACATACGATAAAGAAAATAATATAAAGGCCTATAATAGCCTTCTACGTATATATAAGAATAATTTAAGATTATCACTATGTTCATCTTTACTCGCACTAGCTTTCTACGTTTCTGTCCGTCCCGATAACTCTTGCTAAACTGTTGCTCTTAATGGACCTTCAGCTTCATTTTCTCGCCCTCTTTTTGCTTCAGCCACTGTCGACTGAAATGGCCTTCCTGACAAAAATCTTAACATTACTGACGCTCTTAAGTTTCGTAGATTTTTCGTGGTTTTGATATTTTTAAATTTATTTTGATTTCCTAGCAAAAAAGGATCTTATCATTTTAAAATTTAAACTCTCATCCACAATTTGTTCTAATATTACGTAGTTTAGGGTACCTCATAATATAAACTGGTGCTTGTTCGATTTCAGGTTTGCTATGTGATTTATATTTTTTATTGAATCAGCTTGAAGTAGGATCTTTGATTTGCCTTTAGCAGGTAATGTTTTGAAACAGTGGTCATTGCATGCAATTCGTCAGTAAGGCACTCATATAAAAATAATTTGAAACTATGGCGAGGTTCTGATATGAATTTTAAATCTTGACTTATATTATGTTAAGGTGACCTATACCTGCTGCAGAGAATGAGTTAGAACCGAATTTTTCTCAACACGAAAATAAATAGAGCGTCACGAAAAGCCCGGCCTCCGCGAAAATTTCATCACAATCGGTTGGGTTTCTACGCCTAACTTTTACTACAATCACTTGACTTAAAATTGTTATGTAACTTCAGAAACGTTTGAATGAGGAATTGGGGACTGTTTCCAATACCAGGCGCCTTAAACTTTTGTTGCATTAGGGGCTCGGTTGCCAACCATTGAAGGATCCCAAGAAATGCTGATAGCGTTTAAACGGAAGTACTCAAACTTCTCATGTGGTCCATAAAACCCGAGCTACAATCTAATTTTGACTAACGTCCGATTATATTTTTTTCTGCAATGGGAAAAACCGTCTTTTTCTCCCGAAAACCCGGAACTTCACTTACTCTTCCTCAACATTAGATTAATAAGATTGAAATCGCGACATGATTGCCATTTCCACAACAATGTTTTAAAATATAAATCTGCAAGCTAAGTACACGCACAGATTTATTGACGTTTTTGAAATAAAATATTTATTTTGTTGGTTTACACACATCCTGGTGTGATTACACTATTTCGCACAACGTAGTAGCGGCTGGAGCACATTGGCTTAGCAGTTGAATCAAGTTAAAGAAAAACAATGCACTAAATAGTTTAACTGATCTAAATTATCGATATTAAACTGGCCTCTTTTCAAAGGGAGCAATTAAAACAATTCCTCAGTTGAAGTGCACATACTGCACACGACGACATGCATCTCCATCTTCAAACGCATCGTCTGATTTTTTTTTAATCTGTCAACAATGAAAACTATGGCAACAACAATTCCATAACAGTGTTTATTTGACCGACTAATTGGTAAAACATTAGACGTTAAGTAAATATTTGATGAAATAGTAAATAGTGTAATCAATTATTTCTCCAGTAACAGTGTTGAAGCGTCGCCTGTCAGCGAATTTTCGACTTTAATGTGCAGAACTTTCTAATAAATTATACCACAACAGGTTTACCGAAAGGTATTTTGAACGTGGTAAAATATAAAGCTCAAGCGTGTCATTCTAAGATATGCACAGAAGTGGCCACCTTGATCGCATTGATCGCAGTTTAATGGAAAATATTGAACCGTTTTATCTACTATAGTTTCGGGGAATGCTGAGACACTACAACTGCGCCGCAACGTGCTGTCCCCGGACTCCGTTTAGTTATAATTTGGCCAGCAGGATGTTTATGCAGTACAGCGAAAGCCGATATAACATTACCTGACTTAGCACATTTTTAGTAAGCTAGGTACGGCATAAATAGACGATTACTAACAAATGAGTAGAAAAAGACGCCTCGAGGCCATTCTGATGTGTCATGTGCGACGCCTCGAGGTTAGTTAGCAGACATCCTCGACGACTCAAGAAACTGATCCCCGAGAGTCAGCCAGGTACTAGTTTTAGCTTTGGGATTGACCTCAAATTTTGGCACGCCGTCAACTTGTTGTATTCATCGCGTGAAAGCTCTCGTTGTGCACAAGATTTCCTTCTGATGTATGAGTGAGATGTGAGGTGACATAAGCTGTTCACAATTAGCCCTCGAAAAATCCAAGTATAACGGCACGAACATCAGATCTTGTGAGTATTAATATCCTTTCGCGCGGCCTTAACATTAAACGGAAGCGGCAATGTTAAAATAACAATCAAATCATTCATGAAACTTGTCCATGATCACTTGTCTCAACTCCTGTGCACTCACTTCAACGTTTGGTCAGTTTTCTGCACACATAGCAAATCGTAATTGGTGGCATGCGTAACTTGCACCTGCCTGAATTGTATTTTCAGTCTGAGACCACAGTTAAGATAATGAATTTTCGGCTTCCGTTTTTTATTTCTAAAACGCGCATAAACTTTAAAAAAATAGTTTTCTTGATTCCAATTATGGGGGTCAATGAGTGATTATCAAACCATATCAGATAAATATACATTTAGTTCATACTGGTCTTATATCTTTTTTTATATTTAACGTGTATACCATTTTGATATCACACCTTCAGGGTGGGATGGTTTTGTATTTATTTACACCACACCTGTATAAAAATAAAGCAATCATGTCGTAAGAGCCAAGTTATTTCTACAAAAATAATGGGGATATAATGTAACCAAATATACGGGAGGCACATATATGATTAAAATAGCGCGAAATTGGCAAGGACAAAAAAGACACGCGTGCGACATCACTGGCGCTAATTTCCAACTAAGTTTATTGCTTAAATTAATATCCTACTTTATGCCTTTTTTAAAAAAAAAGTTTACTCTTTTAGCAGACAAGCGAATTCTATGAATCTATGCCGGGGTCTCCTGCACTTTTACTTCAGTGATCACAAAAATCCTTACAACTTAAACAATGTGAGTGCATGGCAATCTGCAAGTGTTTTCCCATGTGTTATTCAATGCCTAATCCTCGCCACGTAATATCGGGCGCTCTGATTGATGTATGCCTGCTTGTTGTATCAACATGAGTGCTGGCATAATAAATAAGGTTTAATTTTTTTTAAATGAAGAACTTCAGAAAGTTCTTAGCGTGCACCCGAAATGGCTGAAACAATGAAAGGAATACTTCAAAACACTTAACCTGTGATAAAATTGTGAGAGGGGGGCACAAAGCTTCGAATTGAAGGCACTGTAAGTTTTAGTCTCCAGCACATACCTCAAAAAGCTGAAAGGGCGTTCCCCTGTCATATGTGCTTACTTGCGTTGGTTTGTGGCGTACGTTAAATTGCAAATATCCTACTTTTTGACTACGATATTTCTAGCAGTTCTACTGGGTTTTCAAAGTGAATAATTATGGATTTTATTCTTAATTACGCTGTATAAACTAAACGGTATGGCACTATTTGTTTTATTTTGTATAGCCTAATAAACAAAAAAACTGCATTCATAGGATTAAGCTAAATCCCATTTGTGTTACTAACACACTTCTAGGAATAGTACAAAGAATTACAGTTTATTAGAAAGAGAATGAATCACTTATTCGATTCATTAAGCGCTCGTAAACGTAGATTTTTGTCAAGATTTCGAACAAGAACGTTAGTTATGCGCAGTTTCCGCATATCTTGAATTTAGTACCTTCCGATCGTATAAATGCATGCCTAATTGAAATGGAGGGAAGGAACAGAAACGCGGCTTCGCATCGGTCAGTT